GATGAAACTATTTCTTAGGTTCTGTTAAAACGTGTCAACAGTTCGTGTGCTGTAGTGGTTAAGCGACCATATTGGTTTCCAGAAATGTAGGCAATGGGGAGGTGGGCGGGTGTTATAGCGCCACAGACTAAGGTTATTGATTTGCTATAGTAGGCTATATTTCAAGCTGTATAAAAAGGAAAAGTAAACAATGTGAAGACATACATGTTTATTATTAAAATATACTAATGAAAGTAAACATAATGTAAAAAAAAATGTTATCTTGTTGCAAATGTTACCTGACTTTTATGTAATATTTAATTTATTTTAATTATATTTTGCTCAAAAAAATTAATACATAAGGATTTTGAATCAGCAAAAACAATAAATTACTTTCTGAAGTTTTTGCACACGTTTTATTACTGCTGGAATTTAAATTAAGACACTCTTACCACAGCGACCTGTGTGCTGTGTGACTGCTGTCTCATTGGGCCTGACTCCCGGACTGCAGCCCCCGCATCCCAGCGCACAGCCGCAGACCACCGACTCCTGCAGCTCCACCTGATGCTACAGGCTTTCCTCCTTCAGTTATCACAGTGCTGATGCTGTCCATTCTAAAGGTACAGTACTGTGATAACTGAAAGATGGCGGCCGACTGTACACTGGACAAAGAGGTCACATGGGCTGGAAAAATCAAGTGAAAGAATTTAAGACAGAAGTTACCCATGTATTTAAATATATATTTGTAAATATGAAATGGAAATGTCATGTACCATTTTTGTTTCATTTTATGATTATGATTAAAGGTAATTCTCAATTTAAGTCCATTTTGCATTGATATTACTCAACACATCATTAACATCAATTGTAATTATTATTTTATAATTCTGTGTGACCAAATGAATAAAAACAAGGTGAGTACTCATTTTACAGTAGTAGTTCTAGTACTGTTCATTATAATTTGTGAGCTGTTAATTACTCATTATCACTGACAACTATAACAATAGCATATATTGGTTTTATCTTCACACACTTCTTCATTATTCTACATATAATGACATAATATTTGAATAAACTATATTTGCAAAATATATGAACAATATGTATAAAGTAAGGCATTTAGGTATGGTCGAGTCTAATCGACTGAAAAGCACCAATTTTTCCCACTTAAAAATGTAGATAATTCCTCTTTCAGTTCAGTTCAAGTCATGTTTCTCTTCCACATTTTATATAGGATAATTCTCACTTTAAAACACAGGAAGCTTGTTATCTAGCTGTCAATCTCAATATGGCGTAAAAAAAGAAGTTAGTTTCTTCCTTTCATTGTTCTCTTTAGTCCATGTTGAAGATTTTTTTTGCATCTCATAAACAAACATGACATTAAGTTCTTAAACAGACTAATGATTGTACCCAAGGCAGAAAATGGAACTTCAAATGTATTTTAATTATCCTGTATTGCTACTTAACACATTCACACAAAACATTATTATGATATATGTTATTTTGCCACCACAGCCCTAATGGACAATGGATGTCATTAAGTAAACCATTAAACACAAGATGTAAAATTGTTATTTATAGCACAGAGTAAAATAGCCATTATTTTATTGGTTCTTAGGGATTCAGTTATTATCATTTGAATTATTTTGCAAAAACGAATGGGGACATCTAATCTGCCGTACTCTGCAAATGATATAAAGTTGGTTTTTAGTTTTTTAAATCACTGCTTTTATGTGTGAGGGTACTTTAAATTTAGCTGGTAAAAGAGTTATGGTATTGCGCTTTTCTGTAAAAGAATTTCTTCTCTGGTGCGGAATAATTAACCTTTTGCTTCAATAATGCAGTTTTGCAAAATTGCATGCTATTCATATTACTAATTAGGGCAAAGCATTTTTAAGCCCATGCAACAAATATTAGTTTTTCCTTGATTGAGTTGGCACATTTTTTACATAACTAAACATTTGCAAATCAACAAGTGAAGAATGATCAGACATTGGCAAGGAGAAAGTGGAAAACAACTTTCATTCAGAATTTTGGAGCTCAGGATCATAATGACAATGACATTATTATATCTACGTATTTTGACTTTCATGGTTAAAACAATGCAGGTTGTACTTGTCATTTTAGTGGCACTGACTAATTCATTGTCCTTTTGTGAAATGAGTTAATTGTTTTGGGTAATTTACAGCCTTATGCAGCAAAACAATAGTGTTGTGCTATATGCATGGACTCCTCTGAGAAATGCTCTTATAGTTGTGAGAATGTTAAGTATGTTTCATGATATGTGCCAAAGCGATCAAGAAAATCTGCAATAGAAACCCTCTGGTAAAATAGTTGAGGGATATGGCTGAGAACGTTGACAACCCAGCTTCTGATGTTGGGTGGGGATCACAACCCATGACATCCCTAGCAGCTCCCTTCTGGTGATAGATATTCGACAGAAAGGTAGGTACCTTCACAGGAAGGTATTTTATATGGGTACAATTCACCTCACATCCAAGTACACATGCATTTTAAGGCACTTATTTTGATCACATTAATGCCTGGAGTGTAGATTTCTTTGTGAATTATTTGTTGTTGTAGGCTGTATAATGAAATTAGAGTTTATACACTTTGAAGTAGAATATCTAACTTCATTGGCTGTGCAGTGTTTCATATTTCTGTATTAAAAACAAATAATATCTTAACTAGGTACCAGTGCTTCCAAAGACTTGTGGATGATTGTGTTAATTCAGTTTGTGTTTTCAAAATTAACATACAGTATTATAATTACTGTTCACTCACTTTGGACAAAAAAAATCTGCCAACCAATGAAATTTATGAGAAAGTTTTTGGGTATCCTATCCCAGATGTGGTTACATCATAAAAACATTATAAAGGTATCAGACCCAAACCCTCTCCTTTTTCTGCACCTGCTTGTCCTGTTCAGGGTCAGGGAGGGTCCAAAGCCTATCCTGAAATCTAGGGGCACGAGGCAGGAACAACCCAGGCTGGTGTGCCAACCATTACAGGGCACATTTACTCCCCCATGTCATCCCCAGCAATGCAAACTCCACAGAGCGATGTCAGGGATTCCACTGCTGCTCCAAGAGATGTGAGGCGACAGGGACCCCAGAAGTCAAGGGAAATTCATGACGTGCAGAGACACTTAGGAATTCCTATCATGCACACTTATGCAGATAAACATCTGTTTGTTTCAATCATATAGCACCATTCATGGAATTTTCATTTACTGTTCTGATGAATAAAAATGTGTTGTGAACATTTTACTGGTGTCTGATTATTACATTGCTCAACCGATGGTAGTACTGTGCATTTTTGGTTTAGTTTAAGAACGATTTCCCCCTAATGCGCTGATAGCTGTCGGGCACATTTTTTATAATGCCTACAGTACTCATTTGACTGGTATTTGTTTTCGCACACCAGTGTCATCGTTGCTGTTGATTCCGGAAAAGCGGAAGAGTAGGAACAACTCCACTCATCCGATCACCATTTGGAACTGCGCGTTAAAGTAGTCTTCTGTTGTTCTAAGAGCTTGGCAAAGCAAAGCAAATATGTGTTTGCCAATGTAGGATAAGATCGTTGTTTAGGAATGCATAGGAACTGGCTGCCTATTAATCTTAACATTTAAAGTAACACGAAAGGTTTTTGAATCTGCTTCTTCTCCGCAGATTTGTCTCCCGATCTCATACTTGATATTATATTTTTCTTCTTATTATTGTTTATTTGAAAAATCGTCTGGAGAATGAAAGTTAAGAAGATGACGTGTTTTAAAAGTGTACTGTTAGTATTACTGTTCTTGGCAGTCTACTGGACAATGTTTCAGTTGGCTAGATATTTTGAGTGCAGATTCAAAAGCATTATTTCACTGACACTGTGTTTGGTCTTACTTTGGATTACAGCAAAAGTTCTGCTTATTTTTGTGTGATGCTGATTGTTACAGAATTCATAGTAGCCTATATTAATGTTATGCCAATCGGTCCCATAATGTGTGTCAACCAACCCCGTGTTGGGGCTGGTTGGTACAAGTGCACAACATGTTTATAACTGAATAAACTATTTACAGTAACCGTTTTCTGTAATGTAATGAGTCTGATTTTTAGCTGAGATCTTAAGAATTAATATGCATGTAGCTTGGTTATTATAATGTAATATATGTCTGAGATAAATAGTACTTAATGGAAATTGTGCCAACCAGCTTGGTCTCCCCTACACCTGGACACTGCCAATCGTCGACCGTATTTAGGACCATTTGGCTCACTTTCCAGTCTAGATAAAATGCCAATTTTAAAACAAAACCATTTATGTTTTGTGTAAATATATTAATGACTATTTTCGTCATCGTATACATACAATTCGTAATAGTGATAGTATGGCATAGGCATTCAAAGGAGAGATCTGTCAGAGATTACATTTAGGTGGTGGATGTAACAGGCGGTATTTCTCCCTGTGAGTTACGAGCCAGCGCTGCCACACGCGGGGAAACGCCGCCGCTCTGGGCGGGCAGCACTTTGTGCATAACGCTAGATTTAGCTTTTTACGGATGTCGTATTCGGCCATAATGGATTGTGAAAACAGCACTGCATTACACTGCCGGGATCCATTAATCAAAACCTCTTTCTGATAAGACAACACTTACGAACATTAACAGAACCGAACACGTCACACAAGATGGAGTCTTGTGTTTTATTACTAAGTTGCATTTGTACATGGTACATGTGGCATTTAATATTTTAATTTAAAAATATTAGAACAACGCGAAAATAAATGAAATACTATACAGTTGTAACTATATAGCCTAAAGGGAAAGAGAAAGTTGGCACAATGGTTGTTAAAAGTAGCTACAGTAAGCAAATGATTACTTGTTTGAATCCCGGGTAGGATTACACATTTGATTATGGCGCATAAAAATAGCTTCATTAACACATTTATCAGCGGCAGCATAAGCAAGTTCTTGTTTTTTTCCGGGCCCGTGAGTCCGGCGCTGTAGCTTTGAAAGGGTTAAAGTGAATGGGCTGAAGCCGCAGCAGAAGAAAGACGAAAAACGCCAATCAGCTTCGCGATGCCCGTCGGCTTATTTGGAAGTGAGCGCATTAGGCGGCGGTTTCAGCAAAACTCCTCGGCCGTCAGCGGAGGCGACCGTCGGAAATATCAGCACTTAATACCAGTTATTCTGAGGTGCCTATTCTGATACAGGGTATCGACGTTTAAAGCGACGCGGAAATGGCGCTTACTCAGTATGCGAGGTAAGCTGTTTTAGGGAGATGATCGTTATTTTGTAAAAAGTAAAAAAAAAAAAAAAACATATCATCACTGTCCTCGTAGCGGAGTTTTGTGCAGCGCGAATTCAGCGCGTTTAACAGGATAACGAAAGTAGGCTACAGGGCAGCATGTCGGGGCTGAAGGCGAACATGTTTCACTTATAAATGAGGTGATATCAAAATAAACACCTGCATTTACGCGCACGGACGAATTCCTTTTATACAACATGATCTCAATTTCATGTAATTGTTGCTGTAAAATCCCCAATTACATTTTGAATAAAGTTAGCGTATTCATCCGGCGGTAAACGCGTAAGAAGGGACCCGGTGTGAGCTGTGAGTTTTCTTTCTGCTCTCACAGCCTTTACTCTTGTATAAGTGTCCCGGGAGCGATCGGTCCCGGTGGGGGCAGAGGCGCTGGGCTGTCACTGCGCTTCGGGCTGTCACTGCGCTTCGGGCCGTCACTGTAATGGCGATTAATCGCTCTGCTAAGGTTTGGCGGCGCGCTCGAAGTCCACCCTGTCTCTCCAAACGCTTATGAAATCAGCTTGATAGAGTTTGGTGATTCGACTGCTCTACCGGCTGAATCTGTCATAAATGAGCAGAGAAATCGGTGGAATATAAACTTTCGCCTCGTTCTGGTTGATGAGACGTGCAGTCGTGTTGTATAACTGATAATTAGCTTAAATTACTGAAAGATGTGTGCCGTGCTTTTTAAGACAGTTCACCACTGCGGCTATACAACGGAGGTCTGCTAAATGAACTTTATAACCATGAAAAGTTTATTTAAATAAAACCTCTCGCAAACAAAACTTCAGGGTTACGTAATATATTGCAGCGCAGTGAGTTGGGTCGCTGTAGCCTGATTTCAGACTCGACTCATGCGTGCGATTTGAAAGAAAAACAAGGGGAATCACCGATCTTTGGGGGATTTGATTTTTTTTAATTGCTCCTTTAAATGCATTGCCTCCATTTTCATACAAATGGTTTACAGTATTATAACGTACATAATTATATCAGGATGCTTCTTTAAGTTGTCAGCCTGGTATTTTGTGCTCCTTTTCCAACCATCGGACGTACCTGTTGACTTGCACGGCTGCAGCAGACGGAGGTGAAACAGGCGGTATAACTGACTTGTTCTTTCTCCCCCGAATAGCAATGCGTATATTTCAGTCACCGTATCTAGTTGAGGTAGATCTGTGCTATTTTTCAGCGTTTCTTGCGAAGGGCCCGACTCTCTTAGCAGTTGGAGTGAGAAGGCCGTCTATTTAGTATATTTAAGTTAAATGGAGAATCGACTACAGTAAATATCTTAAATATAGAGAGCAGGTTATGGTCTGAAAAAAAAACTGCTATTACAGAATTACTCTGCAACTAAGAATGCAAAATAAACAATAAAGCTTTAAGAAGAAATGGTGAGACAAAATCAACATGGAGCTGGTAGGCGTCTCATGTGTTTTATTGAGGCTCGGTGAATTCCCTTAAGTTTCCCCGCCAGTATAATTCTGGTTTATTAATTCAAAACAATTTTACACTTTAAGGCAAATCTACCTTGTCTGAAAATCGATCACAATGAAACACTAAAAATTCTGATTTTCGAAAATATCCGTTTTAAATGTAAATATTTTAAATAACTAAATACCCACATTTCGGTTATTCCACATTCAGAGTGCAACTTTAGGTACCTGCCTGTTTGATTGATTTATACATTGTCAAGTAATATTAACTATTTAATACATTTGACAGATGTCGGATATTGTATAGCCTAATTCATACATAATTTATGAATGTTGTTTAGGTAGCCTGCTTTAAAAATAAATTGTAGTGGTTACACACTTAAACTTGTGACTACAGTGACCGTAACGTGAAAAGTATTTGCAGTCTTTATGTAACATATTTGGAATTTGTATATGTGAAACAAATGGTTTAATAAATTGAAATCATACCTGCATGAAACATACTATTTTATTTGGATACGCTGTACCAAAAGTTATTGTTTTCAAGTACAAGAAATGTGGCTTTTGTTGTACCGCCTGATGACATTGCGCGCTCTGCATCGCGTTAGGTAGCTTGATCAGGAGCGCATTGGAATTGATAAGTAATAAGTAAAGAGGTTGAAAGGAGTGTTAACATCCTCTGAAGAAGTATTTTGAGAAATGGACGCAAGTTTCAGAGAGCATTTACAAAAATCTCAGTTTGGGGGGGGGGGGTTGAAAATGCAGAGTAGTGAGGGATAAAGGCGAAAACACAGACTTATCTCAGTTATTACAGAAAAAGGAAGCAGTGTGAACGTAGTTCAGACCTTTTGTCCTGTTATTTATGGTTTTCACATAAGAACCACAGAGACACGCTGTACCTTGTTCCGTTGTTTTTCACGCATGTGCTATGGTTTGTGTTTCTCGGGGAAAGCCCATCTATAAAGGTTAGCTTCAGTTAATATATCAGCTAAGCTATACATCAGCAATTATCATGCAACCAATTTATTTCATAAAAAGCAATCTGTTCCCCTTTAACACATAAAATCAAGAACTAGTGGACCATGTTTGATTGAGAGTACAAAGCTGGTGTTTGTTGTCCCAAAGACTGGTTATATTTAATTTTTTTTTATTCTCTTGGGGAAATTTTGAGTGATCAGTCACTTCTTCCTGGATCATTGTTTTTGACCTTTTCCTTCTTTGTGTAAATACACAGTGGAAAGTCATGCTGCATTTTACTTATTTGAGTTATATATTTGAGTTATATATTTGACCCAGGTCAATAAAAAAATAATCATATATATGTGTATGTATGTATGTGTGTGTGTGTGTGTGTGTGTGTATGTGTATATCTCAATAAATGCTCTATTGTGTGATTATTCAGTTGTAACCTAGAGCCCCCTGGTGACAAAATAATGAATAATGGGCAGGAAAATGGGAACTAATGGGCTGAGGTCTCCCAGCCAGCTACTGCTAAGTCATGTTTCTGGGACACCAGGGCACTTCTGTTCTGCTCATTTGAATCATGCTCACTGCTCCTCAACAGAGGAGAGCAACCAACACCAACGCACTGGGTTTGTATGTCCCAGTTTCACCTACAGCTGAATCCCTACAGAATGATGTCAGGGGGTCATTCTGGAGCATGATTCAGAGAAGCCCTTGGTGCTCGCTTCTTGGCAGGAGGTGGTCAGCTCGAGGGGAAGGAAGACCGTAACGATAACAGAGCAAACTTACGATCAACCATTGAGATATGATTGATGTGATTGTTACTTGCTGCCCTTGAATGGTTTAACTTCAGATTACATGCTTCAAATGGAAAATCCAGCAGTCGTTTGCATTGTACAGAGAAGCATAAAAACAAAATATAACTGTTTTAATATGACCTTTCTGTTATGTGTTTATGCACATCAGTGAATGAATTTAAAGCTCTGCTTAACCCAGTCCTGCCCTGCAGCAGAACGTGAGAAAATGTGCGTTGATGCAGATGTTTTGTATGCTTACACCAGTTGACCACGTGGATCTAATTTTTTCAAATATATAATTGAAATGATTAGGTATTTAATACTAAATTGATTTTTAGTAACTGATTTGGCACATTTTATCTAATGAGAGTTGGCATGTACACAGTATCGACAAAATTATTGGGACACCTGGCCATTACACCTACAATGGAATGTGTCTGGGAATTTTTGCCCATTCATTCTAAAGAGCTTTTGTGAGGTCATGCCCTGCTGTTCGATGTGAAGGCCTGGCTCGCAGTCTACGATTTAGTTTATCACAGGGTGTTCAATGGGATTGAAATCAGGGCTCTGTGCAGGTCAGAGAAGTTCTTCCACAACAAACTCACTCAACCATATCTTTATGGACCTTGCTTTGTGCACTGGGGTACGGTCATGCAGGAACAGACAAGGACCTTCCCCAGACTGTTCCCACAAAGCTGAAAGCATAGAATTGTCCAAAATGTCTTGGTATGCTGAAGTGATCTAAGGCCCCCCCCCCCCACCCCCGAAAAGCAACCCCATAACATCATCCCTCCTCCAGCCAACTTTACAGTTGGCACAATGCAGTCAGACAGGTAATTTTCTCCAGGCAACCAGCAAACCCAGACTCATCCATCAAACTGCCAGAGAAGCGTGATTCATCACTCCACAGAATTTTTCCCACTGCTCCAGAATCCAATGGTAGCGTGTTTTACACCACTCCATCTGATCCTTAGCATTGCACTTGGTGATGGGAGGCTTGCATGCAGCTGCTCGGCCATGGAAGCCCATTCAATGAAATTTGTGGTGCATAGTATTTGTGGTGGGGTTAATGCCAGAGTAACTCTGCAGGTATTGAGTCAACAGACTATTGGCAACTTTTACGCACTATATGCCTCAGCACCCAGAGATCCCACTCTGTTACATTACATGGTCTGCCACTTCATGGCTGAGTTTCTGTTGCTCCTAAACTCTTCCACTTTGCAATAATTCCACTTACAGTTGACCGTGGAATATCTAGCAGGGAAGAAATTTTACAAACTGTGACTTACTGCAAAGGTGGCATCCTATGACAGCACTGCACTTGAATTCACTGAGCTCTTCAGAAGGACCCATTCTTTCAGAAATGTTTGTAAACCTGACTGCATGGCTGAGTGCTTGATTTTATACACCTGTGGCAATGAGTCTGAATGAAACACCTAAATTCAATGATGAGAGGTGTGCCCCAATACTGTCGTCCATATAGTGTATTTTGGCGGAATGTTATATGTAATATTCACTGTGCTTATCTGTTTCATTTGGATCCTTAGGCATTTGGGGGTTTAGCAAAGTTTATAAGAATGTACCATCAGGTGGATATAAAAACCTAATAAAGGGTGTAACAATTAATCAATTCTAAAAGATACATTGATTTCTTAAGGCCACAATATGATTTAATTGACAAATATCAATTCATATCATTAAACCAAAACAGAAAACAAATCAGTGAAAACAAAAAATCTTTCACAAAGTAATCTAGAGGCTCACCTTAGCAGAGAGTAGAGACCAGTACATTACAGTACAATGTGTATAGTTTAGTACATCTATGTTCCTTCTTATCTAGAGAGTAAGCTATACATATCCAGAAACAGTCTTTTGTTGTTAAAGTACAAATACAAGACAGAATGTTTCTTGTGCAGACTTTTTTTGTGTTTTTGGATCATGTATAGTTTTTCAACATATTCTGTTGTCAAAATGAAAAATTAAACATAAATCTTCTTGAATTCAAATTAATTCCACTAAAAAGCTTATATTTCACTGTATTGAAAATATTGATCATGCATTACTGAATAGAATTGTATTGTATTGTGGTAACATTTAAAATATTGCCAGATATCGAATTGCTGCCTTGCAGAATTGAAATTGAATTGTATCATGGCAAATCATACGATTTACACTCTTAATATAATGAGCTTGATAAACAGCATTTTGTATTGATGTTGGAAGCCTTGGGTAGATGTTTTGGGATTTGAAAAAGCTTGCAGTACAATCGATATAAAGAGAGCAGATTTGTAAGCACTTGACGCCTTTTTAAGTGATTATAATAACAGTTTTGGCCACGAACATTTGCATTGTTCCTGCATTTTCCTTGTATTGGTTGGCTGTAGGTTTGCAGATCAAGTTGCTTCACTTTAATTTTATATTTAGGCCTACATGCTAAGTTCCACTGAGCATCACTGGAAAACCACTGCCTGTGAATGAGTTTGCCAGCAGGAAGACGCAGCTATGAGACTGGCGATCTAGGAAATCACAGTAACGTGCTTAGTCACAGGGCGTTTCATCTCATTAGCGCATTTTAATTTGCTGTTGGGTTACGCTGGAGCTCTCATCTGGGAAAAGTAGCTGAGCAGCAAAGCCCCCCTTTTGACCCAAGTGAGGATGACGCACCGCTCTCTTTCTTATTGGCCAGGGTCTGAACATCACGGCTAGTTGCGATGGAACTGGGCCAGCAACTCTGCAGAAAGATGAGGACCCGGAGGAGCGACATCAATGGGCCGACGACTTCAAGAGGCCTGGAAATACATTTCTACTTACTAGACAAACTTCCCCTGGAATACTCCAAGGTCTGTTATTCCGCTGAAGACCTGTGTGTTGAGGCGGCTAAGAAATGTGGTAAGTCACTTTCTCGTGGTCTACAGCTTTTCGAAACAAAACACACACAAAATGTTTATTTGAGAACTTTTATTTGAGAACATGGGCAGTTTGGCATCAAATCAAACTGGGAAATCTCGGAATTGCATAAATTGATACTGTTAGACTTGTGGCACAGGTGTGTAAAACTTATGCTGAAGAATTGGTGCTGAGATGAGTGAGTGTGGCTGGAGGTGGAGACAACATGACTGTTGACATGAGACAGATTTCCTTCTGTCTCGTGGCTGGAGAGCGGCTAGGAATGAAGGCGAGCCACTTCTGAGTTATTCGAGCAAAATCTCCATATCAAAGAGTAAGCCAGAGGTAGAAGATTTTCAACCATCTATGAGATTCAGAGATGCTTTGGATAGTGTGAGCCTGTCATATGATAAATCTCTTCAGATTGTTTTTTTTCCACAAAAAGGAGAAGTGAAATTTGCGTTGCCAGGCTGTCAGTCGACGTTAAATTTGCCAGCGACTTTATTGTAGTGGGGGGTGTGGTGTTCACTTCCACAGACTGGCAGCTGCCTAGAAACTGATGTGCCATACAGATATAAATACTCTACTGTCTGGTGGACCCCCCCCCCCCCCCCCCCCCCCCCCCTGTCCAGGTATTTCTCCTTTGTGTCACAACCTATTTGCCCTGTATGATGAGATCAGAAACGTGTGGCACCCTCCCAATCATGAGTTTGAAGTCGACGAGGGAACCTCACTGAAGCTGCACTACCGTATGAGGTAAGCTGGGGGGGGGGTGGGGGGGGGGCAAAACATCAAACTCCCTCATTGGGTGATAAACACGTCAAACATAAAATATGTGAAAATTATGACTGTGGTCTCATTGTGACAGTACACAGAAAAGGCAACCACAGTAAAATAAGATGTAAATGTGACTATTATTGAGAGTATATCGAACATCAGGTGTTACATGATGAGGTTGACATTGTGGTCCCACCCTACCCCCCGGCTATAAACTGGCAATGACAATTAAACTGCTGGAGCTTATTCAAAGCGTGTCACCGCTGGTATGTTTCCTCAAGCTTGTGTGCGTGTGTATCGTTGACGTGCCATTGTGAGTCGCGCTGACGAGCTAATCCCCGTCAATGTCATATCACACTGCATATTTTCCCCGAAGGGTGGGTCTGCTGCCCCGCCGGTAGCTCCGCTGCTTATCATGTGACTTTTACTCTGGTCCTGCCCTTGTGTTCGACGGTTTTCTTCAGCAGTTCCAAGGTGTGGTTCGTGCCATTAAACATTTGCATGTGGGTGTGTCTGTCCACCTGACTGCCTCCACCGGTAGGAGACGCCTGTACTGAAAACAGATGCCTTTTCTCCCCTGAACCATAAAGCAAAATTCTGACATGTGGCACAGTCCTTTGTGGATTTCCACTGATCGTTTAAAAACACACCTGTGTCACTCATTGACCGGATGTACGTGTATCACAGCCACAACAAAACCTGAGTGCGTTGCAGCACTCTGTTATCATCTCTAAAGGCTTTGCAGCATCAAAGCACCGACTTCCAGATTCAAGAGTGACTTCTTACTCCAAACTGCAGGCATCACTTCAATATTACTGAACTCTGCACCTGAGGTGAATAGTGTCTAAGTGTCACTCGTCTTGCAGATCTAACCATCTAGTGTGTTTGCATGTTTTTATTATTGCACATTGTTCTTCCTTGTACTGGGTGTGGCTGAACGAGTGAGCATTCCAGTGCACTTGTTGCACTTGGCCAGTAAAACAATGTGAATTTAGGGCAGAGGATAAATGCAAGGCTTAAATGTGAGCCTGTTAATTGATTTGTAATCAAGTTCAAGAAATGCTGTGCTGGATGCTGGCGTCGCCTTCTGCAAGGAGCTCGTCATGTTTACCCTCTTCCAAAAGAGGTCTGAGGACACTCTTATACCACAGTTGCATGGTAGGGGACAGGTGCATGAGAGGACAGGGTGGACAGCAGTGCAATACAGGGCAAGATGGCGCAGGACAGCAGTGCAGTGCAGGACAGACAGCAGTGCAATGCAGGACAAGATGGTGAAGGACAGCAGTGCAGTGCAGGACATGACAGTGGAGGACAGACAGCAGTGCAATACAGGACAAGATGGTGCAGGACAGCAGTGCAGTGGAGGACAGACAGCAGTGCAATACAGGACAAGATGGTGCAGGACAGCAGTGCAGTGCAGGACAGACAGCAGTGCAATGCAGGACAAGATGGTGAAGGACAGCAGTGCAGTGCAGGGCATGACAATGCAGGACAAGATGGTGCAGGACAGACAGCAGTGCAGTGCAGGACATGACAGTACAGGACAGAAAGCAGTGCAGTGCAGGACATGACAGTGGAGGACAGACAGCAGTGCAATGCAGGACATTTTGGTGCAGGACAGCAGTGCAGTGCAGGACAGACAGCAGTGCAGTGCAGGACAAGACGGTGTCATAAGAATAAGTAAACTAAATAATTTGCCCCATGGATCAAAGACTCGTCAGGGTAGATGATCATCCTCTTCGATGGGTTTAGATAGAGCTTATTGGAGATTGTGAATGAATCCAACTTACAGCAGGAGTGGTCTCCTCTTGTCTTTATGGAACTGCTGGAATGAGGTGCAGGTCACTTCTCTGTTCATGGAGAAACGTGGTAAGGGACAGGAAATCTTTGTGAGGCCTGTGATGTCCTGTGTGTTTCAGCTCTAAGAGGAGGGTCACAGAGGATACAGATGAACTTCTGGCCACTGATAGCTGGGGTCCTTAACTCCTCTTGGGCCAGTCTGCCTGCACTGTTTCGATCCAGTACGGTATCGTTGGGGGTTTTGGGACTCGGCCCCAATGACAATTGGATTGTTGGGATTTGCACAGCTAAACACGCATGTAAATTTTTATCCAAACGTGTACAAGGATGAACAAGTTCATCTCTATAAGTATGTGGGAGGCATTGAGTTGTAAGCTTCAGAAGGAACGCATTGATCCCCCGCAGGCCCTGCTCTGTCATCAGTGTAGGGTCGGTCGCACGTCTGAGGGTCGGTCTGATCTGGCGTGCATTTTCTTTTTTATGATTTTATGATGCTGAACTTCCTGTTTATGGTGTCTGTAGCACACAGTGGAACTAAAAACGACGTTTGGCTCCGCGTGTACAAAGTCACAGCTATGCAGACAAGTCAAGTTATGCGCTTTCATGTCCCGGGGATCCACATCTTGCATGCCTCTCACCTGAAAAGCCGTGCTGTGCTGTTGTACAAGCGAGATGTAGCCCCTGCTTGACCCCGACGAGCAACGGCCTCATTCTGGTCGCTCTCGTCTATTTTCCAGGTTCTACTTTTGCAACTGGCACGGCACAAACGACAGCGAGACCCTGGTGTGGAGGCACTCTCTCAGCAAGCAGAGGAGCCCCGGAGGAACGCCGCTGCTCGATGCTGCTTCGCTGGAGTACCTGTTTGCACAGGTGAATGCAGGAGACGGGAAGGCAGTTTGAAGCACCGTGCTGAAACACGCTGTGGCCCATAATCACAGGGATTTTGTACCGATATGCCTTTTCTAGGGCCAGTATGACTTCCTGAAAGGCCTGGTGCCGGTGCGGAGCCCCAGTAGCGACGCAGATGCTCACGACATCGAGAACGAGTGCCTTGGCATGGCGGTGCTGGCGATCTCGCACCGCGCCCTCAGTCAGGACCTGCCGCAGTCGGGGAAGGTGGGAGACGCCAGGTGGGTGGCTATTCCGTTGCTGGGCAACATGCATTTTCCATTTGTCAAAAATTGTATTGGAATAATTACAATGATTCTTAATGTACAAGTGCCATCTATCCTCAGCTATAAGAAGCACATCCCAGAGAGCCTCAACAAGTCCATCAAGCAGCGCAATATCCTCACCCGCGTCCGCATCAATGACGTATTCAAGAACTTCCTCAATGAGTTCAACACCAAGACCATCCTGGACAGCAGTGTGACCGCGCACGACCTGAAGATCAAGTACCTGGCCACGCTGGAGACGCTGACCGTCGGCTTTGGCTGTGAGGTTTACGAGACCCACGGGCTGCACATCTCTGCCGAGAGCGAGAAGTGTCTCCAGGACGGAGTGCCTCTGGGGTACGAGGTGAAGGTTTCTGGAAACTTGGGAATCATGTGGCGAAGGAAGCCAACCAAGGTAAGACTCTGTGGATTGAGGTGTGAAGGTATTAGTCTGTTTTCAATAAATTAAACATCTAGCTAAATTTAATTTGCCTACGTTAAATGTTAACACAGGTTAAGACGTTAATTTTTTTTCCCTCCTTAAATACACAGAGCATACAGACAGCCAAAGGAAAAAGGAAATTAAAGAACAAGGGACTGGACAGACAACTGAAAAATGAGGAAAATGACAGTGATGGCTGGATTTTGTTTTCGGACTTCCATGAGATAACGCACATCGTCATCAAGGAGGGGGCCCTCACTGTCTACAAACAGGAAAACAAAAAGATGGTAAATTTTTGGGCAGATCGTTGGCTGTGGATTCCCAGAATCCCCTTCTCCACATGCACTCTGGGTTCCTTCTGGCCCCACTTACTCGGTTGTTGTTGTTATGAATTCTTGATTTTTGGCCTTCATCTGTTTTACGTAACTTTGCAGTTGGAGGCCGCTGCAGTTTAAGATCGCCGTGCTTGGTAGGGCAGCGTGCTTCTCGTGCTGTTTTCAGATGGCTGGGCTCGTAAACAGCGCGGACGAGCACACACATGTTGCATGCTAGATCGTGAGCTGAGATAATGGGAGGTGTGGCTGGCTGCCAGCAGGCGCTTTGCAGTCACGGTGCTGCCCGTCAAAACAGAGCGGTCATTGTGTCCTGACGCTGACAGTGGTTTTGCAGGCTGTGGCGCAGTGACGACTGCTCCTGTCCAACCCTCTCCCCTCCCCCCAGGAGCTCCAGATGGTCTCTAGGGACGAGGCGCGGGCCCTGGCAGCCCTGGTGGACGGCTATTTCCGTCTGACTGTGGATGCCCATCACTACCTGTGCACGGATGTGGCGCCGTCCTCCGTGGTGAGGAACCTGCAGAATGGCTGCCATGGCCCCATCAGGTAACAGCATGGTGACCACGCTTCTACTGGCCTCTTCTCCATCAAGGGCCACATCAAAGGAGTTTGTAATGATTAGCATGTAGCAATTCTGACCCAGTGCCACCCCGTCCCTCTGTTTTCCATGGCCTTAATCTACCCGCTCCTCCAGCACGGAGTATGCCGTCCACAAGCTGCGGCAGGAAGGCAACCAGGAGGGCATGTATCTCATGCGCTGGAGCTGCACTAGCTACGACCACATCCTCATGACGGTCATCTGCGTCGAGGTAAAGTCTCTGCCTGAGAGGCCTCGTGGCGAAGCTCCGCTCGCCCCATGTGCTCGCCGCTCTATCCAGAGACATGTGCCATACCTCGTTGCAAATTACATGCAAAAAATTGACTGTGAATATACAAATAGGTGGGACTGGGTGCACACAATTTTTCAAGGAGGAAAAAGTCAGGTGGGGCTTTAGTGTTAAATGTTAGATCATTAATGTAGTGGTGTACAGTGGCCCAGGATGATCTTCCACCAGCTCCGTAGTGCAACACAAGTCGGTTATATGTTCTTGGACTCATGCAAATCACAAAAGGTTGTATATGAGACAACTACACGCAAGTAAGTGGAGGTGAATGTGTTGCATGCACAACATTATACATATACACATACATTACATTTAGAAAAGATTTGTGAATATGGTTGTGAATATCGTGAGTCGGGTCAGCCTTGGTCAGTTGCTATCCTTTGCTTTCCCCCTACCCCCCCAGGCTGACCCGGTCATGTCCAGGAATGGACGGCAGTACAAGAACTTTCAGATTGAGGTGGGGAAGCAGGGCTACGGGCTGTGCGGGACTGACGCCATGTGGCCTACCCTCCCGGAGCTCATGGAGCACCTGGCGCTACAGTGCCTACGGACCGACGACATCAGCTTCCAGCTGAAGAGGTGCTCCCCCCCCCAGCCCCGAGGTATGTGCCGGGACTGTACCCCCCAACCCCGAGTGCTGGCAGCTCTGGGAAGGTTCCCAAAACCATACACCGCTCTCAGACCAATTCCCGGCAAGTAGTTCCCAGCAAGTTGTTTCCATCCAGTCAAAAACTACCCAGTGAAATGCACAAAATATCAGTGTGGGAAAGAGAGAAACGCAAACAGATTCAAAGAGGCCATTCGAATGACGACATCCCAAAAGGTTAGAGTGGCGGGTAATGGGCGTTGCTGGGAGAAACCGTTATGCACCACGTTCAGAAGTCCTGCGGTATCTCCCCTTATGGGTCACATTTCAAAGAGAGTACACTCTCCCTGATAAGAGTGACTAATCTGACCTTTCTGTTGTTGCGTTTACAGTGAAAGGCAACAACACAAAACTGCTGTAGTTAGTGCTCTAGTGCAATGCAGTCCAACTGCTGACTGTATTGGTTTTGGGTAGAAGTTGTGCTTGTTTCAATGAATCCTTTCCAGAAAACTCTAGACTATTTTTTATGAGCTGTAGGCCTCGTCGGCGTGACAATTTGCTTTAGTGATCTTGTTCTGTTGCTGCTACCCACTTTGCATCCGCTGTCCTCTGAAAACCCTCACGTTTAGAGGTGGGAGGGGAGCGGGGGTGGGGGGCAGTTCCCCTGTG